CCCTGCCCTCCTCCTGCCTCACCCTGCTCTGCCCCTGCCTCGCCCTGCCCCTGCCCCTGCCTTCACCCTGCCCTCCTCCTGCCTCGCCCTGCTCTGCCCCTGCCTCGCCCTGCCCCTGCCCCTGCCTTCACCCTGCCCTCCCCCTGCCTTCACCCTGCCCTGCTCTGTCCTGCACACTGGCCTGGACTGCCCCGCCCTCCCTCATGGGAAGAGAGGAACAGTCTGACCCTCTAGATGCCAAACTGTAACTGCAGTTGCCACAAGCCTGGCTTAGCACTGGGAGGTCCCAGGGCTCGAGGGCTCCATCAACAATGTTTTTGGCTCATCAGTCGAACAGAATGGGTTAGAAACAGAGAGAGATGTTTTTCAAGGTACACCATCCTCACTGCAGCCGGGAGGAGTGCGTGTGGCGGGACGGTCAGTAAGGGCTGGCTGGTGTCAGGCTTCGGCTGAGGGGGCAACGCCTTCCCCCAGCTCTTCACAGCATTCCCTCCAGAATAATCTCCCATTTCCCGGTACATTTGGTGAACAACCCACTTCCAGCACAACAAACTGAAAAGGACCGTGTCTCCGTGAACCTTCCTTCTCTGACCTCATCTTCCTCTCTTGTTCGGGAATGGCTGTGTTTTCTTGGCATCTGCGTCTTGCAGAAGACTGTGCCCAATTTTGAAAGGATCTGTACGGGATGTTGGACAGCCTGGTCCATAGCTGTCGTTGATTTAATCAAGCCTCCAAAAGTAACACATGGCTTATAAGGAGCTGTTCTGGAGGGAAGAGGTGTTAACCCTAACCCTAACCCTAACTCCATTCCCCTCAACCACACCGAGTACCATCCCTCTCCTTTGTGGGGAGTTCCAAGCCCAAACAGAGGGACATATCATAGTGTTAAAAATGGGGCCTCGGGGGCGCCTGGGTGGCTCAGTCGGTTAAGCATCATGATCCCGGGGTCCTGGGATCGAGCACCGCATCAGGCTCCCTCCTCCACGGGAAGCCTGCTTCTCCCTCTCCCACTCCCCCTGCTTGTGTTCCCTCTCTCGCTGTCTCTCTCTGTCAAATAAATAAATAAAATCTTCAAAAAAAAAATGGGGCCTCACTCGGAGAGGCCTCCCCAGGCTCTGTTCTCCCTCGCCTCCCGCGGGGCCAGGAGAGCAGAGTTCCACTTTAATCGCCCCTACAAGCCAGGGGGCAGAGGCGCTGAGGAGGGGTCCCCCACTCATCACGCTGCTCTGGGGATCCCATCAAACGATCAGTCGTGCACCATCCTGGACTTCCAGGGTCCGGGAGAGGGTCCCTGGCCCCCACCATGGCTCACAGCCCACCTGCTTGATTGCAGGGGGCTTCTAATTGGAAGCCAAAGTGTTTTAACTAAGGAACCATCTATTTTATATGATTAAGATAAATTTCTGCATGGAGACAGGAAGGTGGACTGGATTACGTTTTCAATTTCTTTCGACTTAAAGGTGCCAAGACTCCCTTGTGGCTATTTCTCTGGAGGGCACTGGGTTCTTAACCACTAAGTCTGACTTGAATAGATAGCAGTGAATACTCTCAACTTTATTTTTCTTTTAGAAAATCCATCATCTGGATGTAATTAGGGAAGTCACCAATAATGAAGCCTCACTTGGTCATTTCCATTAAGAAGCAACCTTGTGAAGATGGGGTCAGACATCAGCAACCTCCGAAAAGTGGTGGGTACCGTGCTGAAGTCCAGACTGCTTGTCCTCTGTACAGTGTGTGTGTGAGAGACGGGGAGAGAGGAGGAGGGAAGAGGAGGGGGACGGGAGGAGGAGAAGGGAGGAAGAGGAGGAGGAATGGAGGGGAAGAAGAGGAAGGGGAGGAGGGGGAGGGGAGAGGAGGGGAGGGAGG